TTCCATTTTTTTATTTTAGCATTGTATTTTTAAATTATTTCTTAATAGGGCATTGTACTTTAAAAATTCTTATAGTATTGAGTCAAGAGTTACCTTTTAAACCGGCAATCCTTTTAGTTTTTTTGACTTATGTGGCATAATTTGTATAGATGGAAAATGTGTTCTAGTCCTTGTACTTAAATATAGAGTAGATTACATATTTCGTCCCTATGCTTATATAGAAATTATGGATTTGATTTCCCAAATGAAATTTTTACATGTATCATCACTGTGATTTCCTTTTTATGATGAATTAGGTCACCGTCTCTAACTAAGTTATCTTGAACTCCGTCAAGTTAGGGTCATTTTGGTCATTTTATACTACTTTTATTTTTTAAGAACAAACAAATCTATACAAATTAAATTACAACTTATATATTATTTATACTTATGTATATATACATATGTATACACACATAAGAAATCTCCCCAAGAACACCGACCTTTCCCGTCTTCGACCCCCTCGTCCACTCCGGTGAAACCTCATTTCCTCCCAAACCCAGCTCCATCAACCAAATCGAAGAAAACAACGACAAAGGACAATCCAATTTTTAACATCATCGTATTTATGTTTCTGGTTTTCAAAATCAAGAACCTCCATAGACTGAACCCGACAAATATAGAAGTACACAGTAACAAAAAAAAAGTAAAAATACAATACTATAATAAAAAAATTTATAAAAATAAGTTACTATTTCACGTATTTACCCCATACTTTCATGAATTTATGCAAAACATACAACATATGTTAATTTTAAATTAAATACATATTTTATATTCCCTTTGATATAGTTGGAAATAATACATACATGCCGACTACAAGCTTTGCCCATATATTGCGGTTCTGGAAAACACGTAGGCAGTGGTACAAAAGCGTGAACCAACAAGAAAATTAACCTTTTGCTGATAAGTCGTTGTTTGTAATAATTTATGTCTTAATTTGTTTTTAATTACTTTTGGCATGCAGGTCTGATTGGATTCATCAGATCCAATTAAAGACCTAATAATGAACATAATTAAAAAGTATTTTGCAAAATTCCTGCCGACAACCTTTTGACACTTTGGTTTATTTGCCATCTTTCCACCCATTTTACACCATTATTCAATTACTTCCATTCAGCTTTTTGTGTTACTATTCATTTTTTTTTTATGTATATTTAAAATACATTTTTATCGTAGTCAGATATGACAAAGTAATCATGATCCTGTAGTCGAATATTTAAAAGACAATCTTGAACTACAAAAAACGTTCCTTTTTGTTCTTGCCAAAAAATCTTACATTTGTTTTGTAAAGGAACAAGTGAATGATATGTATTTCTATCGATCTCAAACAAAAAAGAACTTAATGAGTTGAGCTTAATTTATAACATCAATGTTCGACTTGGCTCATTTGAAAACTCGATTAAGTTTTTCGATTTTAGTTTGGTCGAGCTTATGCATTCGAGCATACATTTTTTCGAGACAAACATGCTCATATGTTCATAAATCATGTAATAAAAATATAGAAATTCTCTAGCTCGAGGTAATAAATAAGTTAATCGATCGTGAGTTCGATCCTATAAACTAGCATCAAGCCGAACTCGATAATTTAAAAAATATTGGAGCTAGAGCTCGAACCCTACTTTAAAATTTTATTTGAACTCGAATCAGGTACCATATTTTCGAACGGAGCTCGAATTACCTACTATTCAACGAAAGTTTACACCCATTTTTTTATTTCTTCTGCAACCAAATACCATGTACAATAATGGAGGCAAAGATCCAAAAGATGGTTTTATACAACAATAAAATTTTCATTTTCATTATACTTGTTCTATGATTAAGGATATATAGTCATTTCAAATGTTAGAATCAATGATTAAGGATATATAATTTTCATTTATAAGTTACTTCAATGTACTGAATGAGATGTTACAAAAAAAAATTGTTTGTTTTTAGGGATGATAATTATATCATCATTTTCAATATTCTCAATAATTATGTTCAAATTAATTTGAATGATGGACGATCAAAATGAACACAGTACCATTCAACATATTGATTCGAATGGTTTCTTCATTTCTCGTGTTTCGAATGATATGTTCGTTAGTGAACCCAATTTACATGATATTCATTAGTGAACCTGGTTCACATGATGTTCATGCATGAACTAGAAACATTAACACAAATAATCGGTCAAATGTTCATTAGTGAACAATTATCATAACTACCGATTTTTGTTATTTATCTTATAAATGTTCAATAATGAACTAATAAATCGTATCTGATTGATTTCATTCGGTTTTTTTGATCCTTTCTCTCAGTGATTTGATGATAATCTCTTTTACCTTTCATGTTGTATTTATGTTTCTGTATTTTCAGTTCCAGCGATCATCACTGAGTATGTTCAGTGGTCGCTGAAGAACTTGCATTGTAAATACATCAGAGACAGCAATAATTCAAGAAGACAACACTCACACCAAAGAACCTTCAACAAATGTCGAAGACTGAAACTGAAGATTAGAGACTGGCAAGTACGTGATCTGAAGCGGTATTCAGTGATTACAAGCCTGTCTACATATGTGTGAAGACTGTTCTAGCTTCAGCGAATGATGATGAGACCTCCAGGTCATTCCAGCATTCAACGATCAAAGGAAGCTTGCTTAGCATGATTGTTGTTGTCTTG